AAGCAAGATATTTCTTTCTCATGGTTAAAATAAATGTAACACAAATACAAGCCAAAACCCCACCTCCTGAAAGTAGCATTCTTAATTAGTACTTCTGTCTTTGCTTTTTCTCCCTTCTCCTGAGTTATCAGTGGCTGATATTGAGACCATTGAGACCCTGATTAGTGGGAAGGTATCTTTGCTATGTTTTCAAAGCCTGTAGCAGAACCCAGTAGGGACCAAGTGCTTTCCTTGTAATTAGCATTGATTTATGATGGTAAACTTAATAATTAAAGGTGGTCTTTCTTCCTCTGTTGGGACTTCTTGGCACTTCTGATGCACTGTTTGAAGGCTTTGTGACTAAGCATTAGTGTCATGTTGTGCCTTTGAGTATAGACAGGCCAAGTACACAAAAGTGAAACCAACACTAAAAAAAGCTTTTCCTCTGAACCAATTGCATTCCTGCCTGCACTTGACTCACAGCTCAGTAACCATATGCTTATATTCCACTGGCAATTGCCATTTAAATGTCAGTTTACAAGCAGATGCTGGGAGCCCGCCTTTGTGTCATTAATCAGACCCTAGAGGGGCAAAGTTTGAGGTCTGGCTGTGCTTTGGGCTGGCTGGGATGGAGCAGCAGCAGAGCCTGGCACACCTTGAGCCACCAGGATGGTCAGGGTGAAGTGCACAGGCAAAGGACTCTGTACCTGGGGTCACCAACAGCCTCAGCTAAGGGGCTGTGGCAGCCAGAGAAATCCTGTTCTTGGCACTGTCTGGTGGCAATTATCATCTTGTTGACAATTTCAGGCTTTTTGGGATGGCTGGCAGCAGCCAGGATAGAGGCAAAGCACTGGGTTTTAAAAGGAGACAGATTTAAGTGCTTAGGTATAGAAAAAAAAAAGACAAAATTCTATTCAACAGAAGAACAAGGGGAAATGTGGAGAAGGAAGCCCTCTCTTCCAGACATCTGCACATATTTAAAATCCTTCCCAATAAAGTTCATAATGAATTTAATTCAGTCCCCTATGGCCCAGAGGAATTTTCTGAGTAATAAAAAAGTATTGCTAAGGGATAGATGACTGCCAAACTCCTATTCTCTGCCAGCAATTAATATTTATACTACTGGCACTTAAACGCTAGGTTTATTTTACTACATAAATGATCCTTTGTCACATATTAAGAATTAATACTGTGAGATTGACTTTTGGGAAGTTAGAATAATGATTACCAAATTTAAAGTGTTAAATTTGTATGCTTTGTTTGTAAAGAGTCTTGGGCTGGGCTCTTTTCAGATTCAAACAGTAGTAGGATGTGGTAATTCCTATTTTGGGGTAAACTGTTTTGTGGCTTGTGTATGGTTTAACTTTATAATGTCATTTTAGTGAAGGACCTTTTCATGTATTTTGTTTTGTTTGTTACCTTGAAATAACTAAATCAATGTTAAATGAATTCTAAGCTCCTGCTCTTATTTAAAGGTTGAGATGTTCTTACTTACAGAAGGTAACACAAGGGCTCCTGGCTTCTGCTGGCATTTTTCTAATGCCCTTCTGATGACTGAACTGGAATAATTCAAATGTGAGTTGGAAATTTCAAGCACCAGTGATGGAGGTTGCAAAACCACAGCATTACTTTGTTTATAAACATTGTTATTCCATGGAAGATAAAGCTCTGCTCTGTGTCACTTCCATGCAGTGGTCAGGACAATGGGGTGGAAAAAGCAGAGCCACTGATCTTTCTCTCTTTAATGAGGAGTGGAAGGCAAAGATGAACATGAGCTGAAATGTGAAGAATTATTCCCATCAGGCAGAAAGCTCACAGGAAAAATATCAGTGCTGGTGTAAGATTCAATGTGGTTTCCATTCCAGCTGGTTGAGGCTGTTTAAGCACCTCTGGCACAGCAGCACAGCACAAACTCCTGAGCCCAAATGCAGGCTCAGCCTGACAGCAGCAGAGCTGAGCTCAGAGGCTTCCCGAGTGTAGCCATGATATTTTCTGAAAAATCCTTTCCTTAGGATTCTTTCTCCTGAGAAGCTGAGAGGCCTCAGGAACAAAATGTAGACAATGATTATCTGCTGCTGTGGAATGCAACAGGTGCATCTGTGATTGGTCCCATGTTGGTAGTTTCTAATTAATGGCCAATCACAGCCCAGCTGGCTCGGACTGTCTGAGAGGCACAAGCTTTGGTTATCATTCTTCATTTTTTTATTATTAGCTAGCCTTCTGATGAAATCCTTTCTTCTATTCTTTTAGCATAGTTTTAATATAATATATATCATAAAATAATAAATCAAGCCTTCTGAAACACGGAGTCAGATCCTCATCTCTTCCCTCATCCTCAGACCCCTGCGAACACTGTCACACCCAAGCTGCTCTTCTGCTGAGTTTCCCTTTACTCCACACTGCCATGCCAAGTGTGAAAGCTGGGAAAAATATTGTGAGTCTGTCAGCATGTTTATTTGCATGGTGCATCTCCTTTGAGTCAACAGGCATCTTCTCAGAGTGTGAAAATGAACAATTAGTCATCCCTGGGAAAAAACAGTTTTGCAGCCATCCCCTCCTGCCCCCCGAGAGACAAACCTGCCTGTGCTGCACAAGGGCACAAGCAGCTCATTTTTCACTGGCTGTACACACTACCAGACACTCACTTCTCCAGAACAAAAGGGGCTGAAGAATATAAGGAGGCATCTTAAGCAGTTGGCAGTTTGAATTAAAAAGAAAGGTCAATGCCAAGGAATTCAGATAGAAGCAAAAAAAAAAATCAGACAGAGCAATGTAGTTGGGCTTTAAAAATGATTGCATTCATTGTTTGCTCATAGTTTTTCACAGCAGCACTCATAATTTAGGAAGCTATTAATCAGCATGATGAAGTATCCTGTTTCTAACCAAGAACAAAAAAATAAAATAAAATTGTACAATACAGCTTATTTTCTTCCCACTTGAAAGACATCTTCTGGTGAAATTTGATGAGAATTCCACAGATTTGGGCTTGTGAACTTTTGTGTTTAAGTTGCACCAGAGAAAAAGCCCCAGTGAAGCCAATAAAATCCTTCCACTGCCTTTTTATAAGATTCATCACAAGTCACTGCTGAAAGGGGCCTTATTTTCTTTTGGCCCATGCCAGGACTGACAACCTATAGTTGTTAAGCTGGCAGCAGGACAAGAGCACTGAAGGCCACAAACATTTTCAGGATTAATGCAAAATTCAGATCACAGAGGCACAGCAGGTACTGAACAGTGAGGTGAGGTGGCAGGGGAAAAGCAGGGGCAGGGAGGGGACTGTGGGACTGAGAGCAAAGGAACAGTGGTTGAGGAGACTTCTGGTAAGTAAAGAACTGAAAATGGCAAAGGTTTTGGTGATGGATTTACTGCTGGCCTGCCAACAACAGCTCTCCAGGGCTCTTAAGCCAGTGCTGTTTAAGATCTGCTACTTCCCCATCCCAATCACTACCCCAGTAAGTGATTACAGAAGCAAGGGATCCAAAGGACAGCTTTTATTTGGTAGCTTATTCAGGGAGATAATAAATTTGTTAAAGTAATTATCCCTTTTATGAAAAAAATTAATTTTTTTTAAAAAGGCATTTCATACCTTTTCTTTGCTTAGGGGTACTGGTGGCGAGAACTTGGACAGAGCCTGATGGAGCTCTGGCAGTTTCAAAGTTATGAAAAATCTTTCTTCTATTTCCTGCCTCCCTTAGCTGCTACATTCACATCTTCCTGCTAGTGAAGTATCCTTTTCCTGGCTTCAAAACCCTGCTATTTTCAAATGTCATTGCTACAGTGACCTGTCCAGTGGGGGAAATCTGATTCAGCCTAGAGAAGTAAGAATTAAACATCTTCTGTGCTGCTGTTGGGAGCAGGGGTCAGGCACTGGATGAGGTTAACAAGGTGACACACAGGATGAGAACTGCCCCACCAGGACACTCCCTGCCCAGGGGAGCAGCCAGGCTGCAGCTTCTGCTCCCTCCAGAGCTGGTGTAAGGCACAGCTCCTGCACAGAGAGAGGCAAAGAGGGGACAGCAGACTGGAGGCTGCCCTGTGAGCCAGCACTGCTGGGGGAGCATCAGCAGCAGCAGCGACTCTGTGTACCTGGGATGTCACACAGCGTGGCAGGATTTGCAGTGCTGGCACACAGAGAAACAGATGATGCCATGAGGTGCCTTGCTCCTGTTCATGTCCTGCCTGGCACAGCCACCTCCATCACTGACACGTTCCTGCAGGGCTGCTGCACCCTGCAGAACTCAATCCATTGAATTTTGAGACACCCAACACTTCAGCCACCCCTTTTTAATGCCATTAGTGATGCAGCAACATGTATTTATATTTACATATAAATACAAAATGGTCAGATACCACATTTTAAAGCGTAATTTACAATCTGAAACTGCTTACACTTTCATGACTAGGCTTGGGTTTTTCTCATTTACATTCATCATTTAATTCCACTGGAATTTGATTTTTAAGAAAGCCCAACATATCTTAATTACCATAAAAAGATCCATACACATTTTACTTAAAAATAGCTTCTGTAAGAGGAAATCTACCAAAAATAACACGAAATATATTATTATGCATACATTTTCTTTTTTGTAAAGTACAAACAAGAATCTGATCTCTTCTGGGTATTGCCTGATCTGATATGGCTATAGGTTCTACTTATTGTGTTTGTTTTTCAAAGTAAAGGGAAAGACAGAAGAAATGTAAGAGCAGAAACCAAACTAAAACCATATTCTTTCCAAAGACACAGATGATCAGAGAAAGAACACTCTGAAAACCAATAAATGACAACAGGTACAAAGAAACACCATCCAAGCACTATGCAGTGTTTTGTCTGAGCATGTGCCGCAATGACCTTGTAACAGTTATTAAAAACAACAAACAAAAAATGCTACTGGCAGAAAAAGCTGTCAAGCAAAACACTGAAAAATTGGTACCATTTCCTAACAAGTAAGTGCAGAACTGATGGTGTTTCGTGTGTCTTCCCCCACGTATGCAGACCTCTCTCTTGCTCTCTGTGCCCGCAGGACTGATCATCGCCACTCTGGCGGTGTGCTGGATGCCCAACCAGGTCAGGAGGATCATGGCAGCCGCCAAACCCAAGCAGGACTGGACCTACCCCTACTTCCGAGCCTACATGACCCTCCTTCCCATCGCCGACATCTTCTTCTACCTCAGTTCGGTGGTGAACCCGCTGCTGTACAACATCTCCTCGCAGCAGTTCCGCAGCGTGTTCCTGCAGGTGCTGTGCTGCCGCCTCACGCTGCAGCACGCCAACAGGGAGCGGTTCCTCAGGGCCAACCAGAGCTCCGCGGCGCGCAGCAGCCGCTCCCTGCGCCCGCTGCTCTTCACGTCCTCCAGGCGCGGCTCTTCCGCCAAGGGCAACGCTAAAGTTTTCCTGAGCACCTTCCAGAAGGAGCCCACGCCCGGCTGCAGCCCACAGGAGACGGGTTCTGCACCCTCAGATCCCAGCCTGGAACCCCTCGAGAGCGGCTCACAGCCCGCTCAGAACGGCCTCTGTGAACACCAAGTGTGACCTCATAAGGCAAAGTTACTGCTTAGCAATGAGCTTAAAAAGATGGAAATTGAAATGACCCAGGAAAGGGACAACATGGCAAAAGGAATAACGCGGATGGATTTTTTCCAGTTATGCAAAAAGAACAGGAGTTCTGTGTCCTGCTGGGATTTTTAAGTGCACACTGGAAATTCAATCTGCTAAATGAACTCATTAGCTGACAAAAATATCAGCCCCTCTTCTCCACGCAACCACTGAACTTCCCTTGCTCTTGACAGGGATTTGGAAACAAACAGAAAATAATTGCAGCGTCTTTGAAGAAAGAAGGATGCGGAACAAATTGCGTCAGGGAGAAAAAACAAACCAAACAAACCAAACAAACCAACTTGCTTGAAGTTTAGCAGTACGAAAACAACAGAGCCAATTTAAGGAGCAGAAGAGTGGTTATGATGTGTGCCCTGGGCACCGCAGCAGAGTTGCCCCTCTTCTTGGGGCGGGGTCCATTGCAGAGGGGGGTGTTGCAGCAGCTGATGCAGACGGAGTTGACCTTGCCAGGGGAGCAGAAGGACTGGTAGCCAGCAGAGGCGATCAGGCACGCGGCCGAGGAGGCGCAGGACTTGCGGTACATGATCCCTGCGACACACAACAAGGGTTACTCCGTTTGAGAGGAACACCTCACAGCGGGATTCCTGCCCTAAAGCAGCTGCCAAGCCAGCTCTCGGTGCCCCACAGCACTGCTGGTGCTCAGGACAGGCACCCCAGCAGTGACAGGACAAACAGCCCTGCACTGCCAAGCACCGCGATCGCTCCAACCAGGATTGCTCTGTACTTCAATCCTGGTTGGAACCAAAAATATGACAGACTTAATTTGCATAATGTATATCAAATGGTGCATTTTATAGCTGGAATTCTTCATCTTTCAGAATAAACTGTTTGAATAGCTATAACTGAAACGCAATTAGTGAGAAAATTAGTTTTGTTTCTATTGCTGAACATGTCTGAGTTAAGGTGTCTAAGTAATTACAGCTTTCTATGCTATTCATTTGTCTTTTGAGAATTTTTTTTTCTTTTTCTTGCTGCTTTACCACACACAGACAGGTAACTAGCAGTAAAAGGAGGATGATTATCAGCAAAACTTTCATCCTCCTCCCTCCCCTTTTAAATTTTTTTTGAAGAAGAATTAGAAGTACTTTTCCAGGTAATCTCAGTTCTTGCTTGTCTTTGAAGTTTAATACCCTTAATAACAAAAATTTCCATTTCTATAGAAGCGTCTTTCTTGAGTTGAAAGTCTTCCCTTTTTGAATGTAATTTTAATTAATAAGTTAATTTATAATTTCTCAGATTGTTTTTAACTGAAAAAAGTACATTCTGATGCATATATTTTAGCTGCTATTTTAACATGGTTTATAAAGGCTGTAAAATACACAGTTGTATTTTGTTCTATCATAGTGGAAAACGATTATGGCAGTTCCCCACCTCATTACTCCAAAATTTTCCTGCAAGTGTTACAGTGGAAATTTTGTCTTAGAAAAACATAGACATAATAGAAATAGATAATGGATGCTTGCCTGCTGGTAGTTACAAAAAGTAGTAGGGATATTCCTAAGGATGATAAAATCACTATTCTTTTTTAATATGGGATTTTCAAAGAGTTTTTAGTTTTTTCCTCCTGAAAAGCAAGGGAACATGATTCCCGTGGGGAATGATGTCTTTGCGTCCTGTGGCATGGTACCAAAACATCTTTAAATGCACAGTGATGACTTTTTTTGGAGGGAGTGAGGAGGGAATATAACCCTGGTGCTGGATGTACAGTGCCTGCAGATATTTGTTCAGTCCCCAGAGATTTAATAACCACTACAGCACCTCCATGGTCCAGGAGAAACCTCTGTAATTTGGCATCAGCCACTGCACCTCTGAGTGCTGAGAGTAGCAGCAGAACACCCTTTCTTTGGGCTGTGCTCAGAAAGAAGGATTTCCTGTCTTCAGAGACTTTTAATTAAAGCAATTCTTTTATCCTGTCACAACACTGCTGCCATCCCAACAATGCAGGGGTTTCCTTGTTTTGTGCTCTCCCTCTGCAAATCTCAACTCTGAAATGTGTTTTTAGGCTATCTATCTCATTGAACTTATGAAGAGAAGCCCTCAAGTGAGTGTTAAATCTTCCTCTGTCTCCAGTGAGCTTCAATCAATCAACACAGCAGGTAGAGCCTTTTCTCAAGAAGGAACAGGAGCTGTGGGCTGTTCTCCCTGTAACAGCAAAGGCACACAGATCAAGCAATGCAATCTTTATTACTACACTTTGCAAAAAGAAGGGAGTTCTGTCTCTGCTGACAAACCACTGCTGTCAAGGAGCCTCACTGGTGCTGCCACTGATCGGCTTTACAATACCAAAATCTCAGCTGATGTTCCCCAAAAAGACCTGGTGCTTTGGCCATGTTCCTCCTGCAGTTTTCCCAGAGCAGAAGCAGATATGACCCTTCCCATGGCCATAATTAGTGTTTTTCCTTCCCCTTCCCTCTTGAGAAAGGACTCCTGTATTCAATTAAACCAGACACAATGACCTGATCCTGCATCTCCCCATCACAGATTATTTCTCTGAGCAACAAACACCCACCAAACTCAGCCATTCCTCAGTCTTCCATATGAACAGCAGTGAATTTGACTTTCCCCTCAAAGACCAAGCCTCTAAAAAGCTTTTGACCCTGGCAGATTTCCTATTCCCATCATTTTATAGATCACTCTCTTCCTGCTGTTTGCTTTTCACAGGTTTCCAGCAAAGCTCTGTTCACAACTTGAACTAGTGATTTATTAGTTTGGATAATTTATAGTGTGGAAATATTACACTTTGCACTTCTCCCATAGATTAGGAGACTGGAATTGTTCACCGCTGTGAACAATTACATGATGCCCTCTGAGGCATGATTTTCACCAGACAACTCTAGGAAACCTCTCCTGCAAAAAAATCAAAGTCCTGCAGCTTAACTCCATGTGTTTACAACAGATCCGTTCTCCAGGACCAATCCCATAGAACAATTCTGAGCTCCCTTTAAAGTCAAAACACAATATTCCTGCACAGACTGAACTTTTACTACTCAAAGTCTCATGAACAGATGGACCATGTTCACACCTAAATAGGGAGAATAATCTGACTAGCAGCAAAATCCCCTTGTAACACTTCTCCAGTGGCTTTTCAGTAAATGCCTTACAACAGGAAATTTCACACCCAAATGATTTTTTATTCCCATTCCTTGTTCTGGTAATCTCAATTTTAGAAAGATTTTTTTACTTAAAAAACTCAGCATTTCCATCAGGTTTTTAACAGCTAACATGCCCTTCACATCCAAGATTTTTTCCTTTGAGTACTGATAGAGTCTCTTGATCTCACAAACCAGCTGCTGTCACACTAAGTGCTTTTTACAAAGCACCAGGTATGAGGCAAGCTTGCTCAGCATGGAAAGGCTGTGCTCTCTCTCTCTCTGGTTCTGCAGTATCTTGACAGGAAGACACAATGCAAACAGGCACAGAAGCTGGTGGAAAAAGAGGGAATGTTAGCACTGCAGGTGTGACATTTTCAAAACACTTGTGCTGTGACTTCACTTACTCCTAAACCTCCTTCCTCTCATAATTCTGGTAGGAAATACATGAGTACAACTGACTTTCATGATCTGATGGCAGGGACACCATCTCATCAGTCCAGCAAACAGGTAAATGGGCCCCAGTAACTTCAGCTCACCCCCTTTCAGCCAGGACAGCAGCCTCCTCTCTATCTCTGAGTTACACCCTGAGATCTCTCCTCAAACTCCTCCCTTGCAGCATTGCTGAGCCATTTCCAAACGACCCCCAAGATCTCCCTGAATCATTTGCCACCAGCAGGCTGAACTGCAGACAGATCTTTAAAGTGGTTATCTGCCTCTCAAGACTCATAGCACAGACATAACTGCTAATTACTGGGTATTCTTGCCTGAGCAATCAGCCCGATGCATTCATTAACACATCACCCAGAAAAATAATTGCAAACCTTTCTGGAAGCTTTTCTTTTACCTCAGATTGTTCTGAGTCACTGGCTAAGCAAGGAGATTCACTTTTTGCACTCTGCTTTTACTGGGATGGGGTCATTCCCAGCTGCCCACCCCCAACAATTGACACCAGTGATCAATTAGCATATTTACAGCTACTCAATTAGTATATTTATTGCCCAATTACTTGATGGATGTAATTTGTACTTTTTCACGGATTCAGCAGACTCCCAACAACAGTTTAGGTATTACAAGGATATTTTACTGTGAAGGACCTACTACTGACCAACAGATTTTCCATTATTTTGGTTTCAAGGTTTGGGGGATGCAAGTCAAGAAATTTCAAGAAAAGAAGGGATTGCACAGAGCTAGAACAGCTGTGTGATAATGTGCTTATATCCCACACACTCTCCTATCGCATATACCTACAACAGCCATGTTTGTTTTCAGGGTTTTTTTAAGCAAATTTTGGCTCAAATTTGGCATTGAAAATTTATTTCTAAACTAAACAACTTGCCCATGGCTGCACCTTTCTCTGCTCCACAAATCATCACATATTTAGACAGTGTTAAGGCCCAAACTAATATTTCTGCCTTATTCCTTGCAATGAAGGGATGGGTGTAAATCTTAAGGCTTTTCTATAGTTCCAGCTTGCAATATTTATTTTCTCAGCTGGATCCAGTCTAGTCCTGTGCATCTGTACCCTGGCACTATTTTGTCCACACACAAGTGCATTCTGTCTTGATTTTAACAAACAATTTGAGCAATAATTTATTCCAATCCAAAAGTCAGTGCTCTTTCCTCTACCCTGTCTGCACAGCCCAGTGCACTTCCCTTGAATAACAGCTTAACTTGTTTCTAGGACAACCAAAAAAGGTGACATCACACCTACTTCTTACACTCTGTTTTTGCAGCAGACACCAGAAGATCCAAGGTTTTTCTCTCACTGATTGAAAAGAACCTTATTAGACACCTCTGAGTCTTCTGTTGTAGGAGGTGCAGACAAAAAGATGCTGTGTAAGCATGACTCTCCACCTTTCAAGAGCCAAGCACAGTCCAAGCAGTGTGCAACTCCGGCTTGCACCTGTACTCTCAGGAGTGTCCTTCAGCAAAATGCACAGAGCCAAAACAGCCAGCCAGGGTATCACCACTGAGATCAGTGAGCTAATTTCCAAAAAAAGTCACCTTCCCACTCCTATGGTGACCCAGCTACTCTGGAACTGCTTTCTGCAAAAGCACAACTCAGCAGGAAATCACAGCCCTGCCCTTCACCCCAGGACCTGATGGCCACAAACTCTCCTCTCTAAGCTTGCCTCAGTCAAGTGGATGGTGTCACCTTGCCCAGCACTGAGCTTTCCAAGCCAGATGTCCTCTGATTTTGTGGGCTGTCACTGACACTTCACTTTTTAAAAGAAAGCTTTTTCTGCACCATTTTATTTGTATATTTTCTATTTTATATGCATATAACCAATTTCACAGGCACAGGTGTGAAAGTCAGCCTTGTGCAGCTCACTCCGCAAACAGCGCTTCAGCAAAATCCCCCTGCACGTGCTCTGGGCAAAGCTGCCTCATAAATCTTCTGGAGCTTAGAAAGAAATCTGTGTCCAACCAGCACTG